CTCCTCCTCCTCCTTCCCTTTCGGAAACTAGGGGCAGGACAGGCGTGTGAGAGTCAGAACTGTTGTTGTTCTGCCTTTCAGGAAAGGGAGTAGAGAGAAGGGTGATGATTATTTTGGCAGTCTCTTACCCTCCCTCCAGTTGCTTTTTGGTTTGTTGTTGATGCCTGCAGGCTTTTCTGAGGAGGTGGGGGGGAGCGGGTGGGAGAGGAGGAGTACAAGCTGCTAGGACATCATCCACAACGGGCAGGAAGAGCAATGAGCAGGAACCCACATTCCTACGGGCCCTTGGCCATCATGCTGCTCAGACAGCTGGGAGAGAGAGGCAGCAGCCAGTTCAGACAGACTCCTCTCTATTGCTCTCCACCAGGGGAGGAGAAAGAGCGCAATACTCCACAGCCCTCGGGCAGCGTAGGCACCTGTCCGGCCCAGAGAACATCCCTCACCTTTCCCCCCGCCCCGCACTGGTCTCACCTTCCACTGGGGAGAAGGAGGTTTCTCCCATCCAGTCCTTGGGGCAGGACGAGCGACCCTTCCTCCCTTTCACAAGCAGGAGGGATAGGAATGGATATTTCTCTCTTAGACACTCAAGGAAATCCTCAAAGTACCCCATTCAGCTGTGAACCCTGCCACATTCTTCTGTGGCCTGCTGAAAACATGTGTCCGAGCCCCTGTACGTACAAGGACCGTCTCTCCATCCCATCCACCATGCATGTCTCAACATGCACCCCCCCTTCATACGCATTCTACAGTGAGAGAGAAGGCAAAATGGGGGCCTTTCTTTGGGTTTGAAAGGAGGGACTCTTGCATGAGGAAGTGATCCCAGCACAGGAAAGGGGCTCTTGCACAAGGAAGCATCCTCCTACCAGGCAGGCTGTTGCACAGAAGGAGCACCCCCTTGAGACAGGCTGTTGTTCAAGGGCCTGCCATGAACAGGGTTACACGGCCAGAAGAGGCTGTTGCAGGAGGAGAGGCCGGAGACTGTTGCACGAGGAGGGCCGCTGCACAAGCGGTGCCCCTGGGCGCAGGCTATGCACAAGAGGCTTTCTGCTCCCTGGGTTGAGGTCTCTCTAGGAGCTGGAGAGGTGCTCCACTTGGATGGCGCTGGTGCTGACAGTGAGGCAGATGTCCTTGTGATGCTCTGAAGTCTTGTAAGGGGTCAGGTCAAAGGAGCACTGGGGGGGAGGGTTGGGTTGGTTAGTGTCTCCAGAAGGGCCCCCTGCTGCCCCCCCACCCTGCGGCTGGAAGTGCTGCTGCTGCTGAGAGGCCTGGGCTTGCGCCTGAACCACCTGCTGCTGTGGGTCAGGGATGTTGTGTTTCCGCATGTGCTTCATCAGGTATGTCTCCTGCAATGGGAAGAATGGTGTGAGAGGAGGGGACGACGTCCGCAAAAGCCAAAGCCAACGGGGAGGGACGCGACAGCTCAGGGGGCTGTTCCCGTTGGATCTGGAGGAGCTACTCCCTGGGAAGTGTGTCCTTCTGCTGCCCCCCAGGACAGCAAACACTCACCGAGGTGTAGGCCCGGCTGCAGATGGAGCAGGTGTAGACCTTGGCGTGTTTCACCGTGTGTGTAGCCAGGTGTACCTCCAATGAGGCAGCATCCGTGTACGCACGGTGGCAGTTGTGGCACTTGAAAGGTTTGTCTTTGTTGTGCTGCCGTCTGTGGGACTAGGGGGTGGCAGCAGGGTGGAAGAAGGAGAAAGAAAGCGCAGGGAAGGAAGCAAGCATTAATACTGGAGAAGGCTTTCCCTCCGGCACCCCTTTCCAGCCATGCCCCAAGCTCCCTAGGACCCCGTCTGCTGAGGGAGGCGCACCTGGCTCCTAGCAGAGGGGACAGAGCTTCTCCCTCCAGCTCACCGCATCTTCCCCACTGATGCCCTTTTTTCTCAGGCATACTAGGCATTTGAAGAGCACAGTCTCCTAAGTCTCCACAACCCCCATCTTCCCAGTCTCCATGCAACTCTTTTCCAGTCTTTTCCTTTTCTCTCCTCTTCTGCGTCACTACACATTTGCTCCCCGCATCTGTCACTGCCCTTCAGGGCAGGATCTGCTTTAACTGCTCACAGGCATTTACAGCTCTTTGCCATTTGGCACGCCCTACAGTTCCCCTCCTCCAGGATACTGCAATAGGACATGCCACCTTTGCTTCCCTAAATCCCTACTCTTATGCCCTCCGTTCCATTGCAAAACGAACAAAAAGCGCAATCAGATACCCAGATTTTATCCTGCATGACATTTAGCAAAGGTCTTGCCCCAGCTAAGTTAGAAAACTCTGCAGAGCAGATAAGAGGAACTTTACCAAGGTCCCACCGCTTTCAAGTCAAGTTTACAATTTTACAGGATGTGACTGTTTATGTGACTTCTTTGGGTCACTAGTGCCACAAAATCCAGGAGTCTCTCCCCTGCCCAGGGCTTCAACAGCTTTTCTGTATTCTTTCACTCACCTCCCAGCTGCCCCAATTTCTCCATCTCCTCCACCACAGCCAAGTAGTCTCTCCTCCCACTTGACAGCTGCCCTTGCCTACCCCAACTGGTGAGCAGGACAAGCCCAGCCCCTTACCTGCAGGTTGGAAAGCTGGGTGAAAGCCTTTTCACACCCAGGGTGAGCGCATTTGTAGGGTCGGTCCCCAGTGTGGATACTGTTGAGGAGGAAGAGCACAAATGGGAGGCAGTGAGCAGGCAGGCAGGGCACACTGCCAGGGCCTGATGCTGTAATCAAATCTCACAGCCACTCAGGAGAGCAGGGAAGGGGATGATGTTGCCTCCAGATGCTGTTCTATCTGGACAAAGAGAGCTCTGCCCAGCTCCTGTGTCCAGCTAGAAGTTAGAGAAGATAGGCAGTCAAGCAGATTTCGGAGTGACTAGGACTGAGGAGCAAGAGCTTATGAATACCTGGCCAGCTCAGCATGTGGGCCACCTGAAGATGGGTTGGGATGGGGTCTGGAGGTCCAGGCTCCTTGCCCCAAGCTCAGGAGTACCATATGACCAAGAGGAGTCTGTTCTCCTGCTTCCACAGTACTAAGAAAACAGCTCTGTTGCTTCTCAGGATAGACACTCCCAACACTTTTCCCTTTATGTTATCAGGTTGAGATCACCTACAGTGTTCATCTGTCCCTGTCTCCCTGCAATGCCAGAAGCAGCTTCCACACACTCAGTCCAACCCCCATGGTGCCAGGCTGGGATCGCCTACAGCCAATGCCTCTCTCTCTATCGCTCTCTCTCTGTGCCCCCCGCGGTGCAAGACCAAGGATCCCCAGGGACAGCATGTGCCCACCTCAGCCCTGAC